TAAATTCCTTGTTTACAAATGTACCTTTAAAAAAAACCATTGATATATTATGTGATTACATATCTGAAAACAATCTTCAATCACGTGTACCTTTAAAACTTTTAAAGATTTACTATTACTATGTACTGACAAAGTTCAGTTCACTTTTGAAGATGAATACTTTAGTCAGATTGATGGAGGTGCTATGGGTAGTCCGCTAGGACCATTACTAGCAGATGTGTTCATGGCACATGCTGAAAATCAGACTGATGAATTAATCGGAAACATGTCACTTTATAAGAGATATGTGGACGATATCTTAGTTGTTTGTGAGAAAAAAGAGGATATGTACGGTTTACTAAATAAACTCAACACTCTCCAAAACCATATTAGTCTCTCATGTGAAGAGGAGAAAAACGATCAGCTTCCCTTCCTAGATATACTCCTGAGTAGACGAGAAAATAGTTCAGTAAAGCGATCTATTTTTAGAAAACCAACGTGGACAGGTCAATATCTTAGTTATTATAGTTATTGCCCTGTGCAATACAAACGTGGTTTGATAAGGTGTCTTTTCAACAGACTCGACCGTATTTGTACCAATGACGCCATTGATGATGATGTTAAGTTGTTAAATAAAACGTTAATAGAAAATGGCTATCCTCTGAAATTCATAAATAGATGGAACGTCCATGGTACAGCGAGACCTACTGTAGCCTCGGTAGAGAAAAAGCCTGTCTACATCACCTTACCATTCAGAGGTGATTCAAATAGCCTTTTACTGAAACAACGATTTAAATCAGTCATCAATAAAACCTATTGCGCAGCAAAGGTCATCATCAAAGAAAGAACAAGGTGCATGCTTTATTCAAAACCTAAAGTACATGGAAACGATTACGTCACATCCCACTGTGCTTACCAATTTAAATGTGTGTGTGGTCACACATACATAGGGAGGAGTAATCGTGATCTCAACGTTAGGGTGAGTGAACATGTACCCAAATGGCTTCAGAAACAAATACAATCAAGTGACCCAATAAGAGCAGAGGATAAACATCCATCATCCTCTATTGCTAAACATATAATTGAAACAGGTCACAAGATTGATCTAAATTCAGCTTTTGTAGTGCTGTATAAAAGTGTAAAAGGGCGTATACTAAGGTTCATTGAAGCCTTAGCCATACGAAAATTCAAACCCCCTTTATGTGTTCAAAAAACAGTTTGTTCTTACCTTAAACCTACCCTGATAATATTGACTTATTATCCAGAGTGATTAGGTTTCGCTTTGTGTTCACATTATTATTATTATTATTATTATTATTATTATTATTATTATTATTATTATTATTATTATTATTATTATTGCTCTTATCATTAGCCTTATCTCCTCTTACCCCGTTTCCTGTTTAGTTGACCTCTTATTTTTATATATAAATGCTCTTAACCAGTATGTGTGTGACCAGATTGCTCGAAATGTATTGCGCTAATATATCACATAGTTCTGATAATCTTCGTCTTTTAATATCATTATCGAAATTTACCAAAGGGACTAATTGTTTTAAAATACAACTATGCCATTATTATTACTAATTACATGGATAACAGAATGTTTGATGTCAAAACATAGTTAACCGATGGAAATTAAAGACTCAATAACACAGCTCGAGTTGAAATCACTTGATAACTGTTAGTTAGAAATATGTGTATTCTCATTTCAGAAATTAGAAAATGAAAACATCATTTCTCATGGAATAACCTTTAGACGCTACTCAACTACCTAGTTACATGTGTGAGTGTCGATCTTACTAGTTGTGCTTTCTTGTTAATTGCCAAGACAGATGTATCGTTCCGTCAACCAAATGATACAAGAATTAAACTTAAGTAGCGGGAGCAGACGATTTCGGTTTGCTAGGTGAATCGAGAACTGATTCAGTTGAGGAATCCACATGCTAGCATTAAAAGTATGTTTGATTTGCTACTTAAACTATATCTGAGATGAATACCATCTACAACTCATTGTATATCGATAATATTTGTCTGATCACAAATAGTTACATTACTTATCTAAATTTCGATCCCTTCTATTATTGGTCGTAGAATACACAATTAGTTTCAATTAAGATAATGGAGAAGATTTATAGCTCAGGTGGATGATTTTGGTGGAGTTTCAATTGGTTTCATGTCATGGTTCTACACTGGTGTTGAAATGGAGCTGTACAATCAGAAGAATACATATTCATATTTCTGAACACACATTATTTCAAACGATCATTTATGACTCATGAATTACACTTTTATTCTAGTTACTTTTGAGCACATACTTTATAACTTCGTGTCAGTTTGTGGAGACTGCCTTATTTTCATTATTTTAATGAACAGCTGAAATATTCTGGAAGATTACAAACGAGTTGAATGCATTGGTAGGCTTTTTAGTATGAAGCTCGTCATCAGTGTGAATACACCAACGTGTACCCTGCAGTGGTATCCAACTATCTCGAGCTCGATTACTGTTGATCAATTTCTAGACTAGTGAGTAAGCATCGTAAACTATACATGTCTAACTTCGATCAGTTTGTAAATTTGTGAAACTTTTCATTCATCATGTTAGCCTGATATCTATCTAATACTCGACACATATATCACTCCATTGTTCACGACTTCTGATGAATGCATTTCTGTTTGCTACATTTTCAATTTCTTCAGTAATGTGCTCAAGATAAATATCAGTACTTGAATTTTGTCAAATACGGATTTCGTTCTCATTTTACTTGACTGTGCTTTGTTCATTTTACTTTCATAAATTATCATCATTCTTTGCACTGTACCTTGTCACTGTTTCTCCTCATCTATATTGCTTACAGCACTCTAAACTTATATCCGAGCGAAGATTAAATCACGAGTAACTTCTGAGACATGTTAATTGACTAATATTATCTGTACATTCTTATAGTATAACTATTCAATAATTAGATTATGTAGATTTATCTTCCTCTAATTATTAGCTTTATTTTGATTGATAATTTTTTATTGTACGATTTACGGTTGTGAAACTATGAGGTGTAATAATTCTTTCGTCAAATAGTGCAGAGTTTAAATTATTGAGATTTTTTATCCTGGTAAGCGTTTTATAAGTAAGGTCGTTTTCTGAGGGATGGGGTTGCCGACATTATGACTAACCCCATATTTCACCCAGACGTGAAACCACCAGTAGCCCTAGAAGAGCTACAGACGGATTTAGAGTACCGTGTATAGTGCTACTAAATTCTATCAGGTCATAGTGAAGCGTGTATTATCGTTTAACAATTACTTTTACCCTTACTTTCATCAGTGATGATCAATTCTGAATCCCTATTGAAATACTTGTAGTTTGGCTTTAAGCCAAGAAAATGAAGAAGCTATATCAGTCTATTTGTAAACAGTGGTTGTTTCTGGCACGTATAACATATTTCTAGCTTATTGTTATGATTATCATCAATATGGTCTCATTCATAATGAGTAAGAGTTTGTAATATTTTAAAATGAAACAATGGTATTTACTAATTAGATTAGTTGTATCTAATGGTTTGCCTATAATGGTCACCTTACTTTTACGATATGACCTTAATCATTGTCTGCACGTAATTAAACAGAGAACTAATTGTATGCAGCATTATTAATCATAAAATGATTCGATGGATGCTTAGTAATAACCATGTTTAGATTATGAGTAGTGACAATTCAACTTCTCTTTCTATACTTGGCTTACTGTGCAAGTGAATTAGAAATATTTTTTCTTAGAAATAAAATTTCAAATTTGTCACTAATTTCGGTAATGACAAGTAACCTATCGTGAATAATAACCAAACAAACAAGACTTACTTATTTAGCTACTTAAGCCTGTTACCCCTCATGTAGAAGCATAGGCTGCACACTAGGAGTCTCCATCAAAATTGACCTGAACAATACTTTCCAGCTGTTCCCACTTGTTATTTATCCTATTAATGTTTGCTTCCAATTCTCAGCGCAGTGTGTTCCATGATCTTCCTCTTTTTTGTTTGCCTTCAGAATTCCAAGTTAGCACTTGTCTCGTGATGCAGTTTGATGATTTTGTCATTGTGCGTCCTATCCACTTCCATCATCTTTTCCTAATTTCCTCTTAAACTGGAACCTGGTTTGTTCTCTCCTACAGTAGACGGTTGCTAATAGTATCCGGCCAACAGTCTTTGAATATCTTGTGTAGAAAAATGATTATATATGCGTGTACCATTTTAATGATGATTGTGTTAGTTCTCCAAGTTTCAGCCCCGTACAATAGAACTGCCTGTAGCTCTTCTAGAATTACTGTCGGTCCCATGCCCTGATAAAGGAGGGTTGGGCATGAGGTTAGCGACCACATCCCGTAGAGAACTAACTCGCTAAAAAAATGCTAATCAGAAAAAATAATTCAGAGTTTGCTTGTACTATGAATGACCAAGTGTTTATGAAGGTGAGATTGAATGAATGGTACTTTGACAAATTTAATTTTGTACATCAGCGTAACTTTATCTGGTATGAGGCCTTTACATAATCATTTTTTTTCAACACAGTTTAAAATATTTTAGGCGGAAACTGAATAAGCGCATACGTAAATTAACAGGGTAAGTGTGAGCACGATAAAGTGAAGATGGACGGTGTTGAACATCTTTTTATTTCGAGTTCTCATATGACACTCGTGCGTCATAATAGATGAGGTGGTCAACAAATGAGAAATAAGGTGATGGATTTATCGCAGATTGAATGAATATTTGTTTGGATCCTGTCTCGTTGTTCGTGATGGTTATTATTATTTTTTTTTTCAAATAATGGTCATATTCACATTGGTTTTGACCTTGATATAGTTTAAAAATGTGGCATCGACTGATAAGATGACTTCATTCTTTTCACTTGCCAATCATATACGTTTTAATTATGAGTAATAGACACATTATGATTGTATTTAAACAGACATCAGGATGCAAACTGTCTGATTGACTACAGAAAACGTTAGTGAATTACGGAGTACAAATATGTTTAGACCACAAAGAGCGGTTGTTTGGTTTCCCTTCATTTTCCTGTTCTGGGATGCAGGTAAGGCTCAAACATTTTTATATGTACGTTACCATCTTTATTTTTGTTCATATGACGATGTTCTCGACATAGGTAATCACTCAGCAATCATGACATTATTCATTAGTCATTAGTATGTGTTGATGAGCATTTATCAAGTTGTGAATGACGTTGACATGTAGTGGAGATAACATGAAGTCAGGCGCTAAGAGTGAACGTTTTCTGACAACGATCATTGTTTATTCAGATCTGTATACATACAATGAAAACATGAAACTCCGATTAAGCAATATTAGACTAAAAAATTGAAGATTGCACAGGTTATAAACTCCCATTTATGAGGAAGGAAAGACTACAAAATGAATGAGTGTCAATAAATAAATGTGATGATTTGTTCAGCTCTACTCTGTCAAATAGAAAGTCTAATGAAAATCCAATTGACGCCTCATTCGTTTGAATGAACATTCTTCTGAATAGTCTAACTTACAAAACAATAAAAATTCATGCCTAAACATGACTTACAAAACAGAACAGTAGTAGGGGAATTGAAGTCTCGTCATTCGATCAAATATTTTTATGCAACTGAGATGGTGAAAATCGGCTGGTTATTCGAAAGCGAGAACTATGAATAATGAAGAACTAAATTTCCTATGAAGTTGTTCCAATTTTTAGTTCGAATCACGAACTGATCTTAGCTGGGCTGTCAGTGTTGACCAGAGAACAGCGAACTAGTGATTCGTTGTAGTATAGGACCTCAGAGCAATAAACAACAACTGTTCACACACAAATTGTACTCGTGAACACTTCACTAGACTGTGTCGCCACCCAGTGTTTCATACCCCATACCACAGTCAGTCTACACTGTTGTCGCTCCATGGTTTACAGTGTAATGTAAGTAAACTATGTGTACTTCTTGCGTCTGTAAAAACATTTATGACGAGTTAACGGATGAACTTCCACATCAGTCTCGTTGGAGATGAAGTTGTCAACAGGAAAAAATATTAGTGACACTCAATCAAAGCACATTGGATCGCACATCACATGGAATAGCATTTGATGTTGGCCTATTCATCATAGGTTTTCACAGAAGGACATTAGAAACTCTGTAGATTCTCACAAACATTTAAACTTTGAGTTCAATATACATGAGTTTAAAGCATAGTAGGTTAATAGGATCACAGTAGACGTGTTCGACTGATTGATGAAGTAACTGTCTATTGATGTGAATATGTGTGTGATGATATTGCTTTGGAACAGAAGACGAAAATTAGTGACTTCAACAAATTTATCCCACGACGTTATGCAAAACCATACAGCTCATATTATTCCGAATAATTCTTGATAAACATGTGTCTAACTTATTCGGTGGTTGAAGATCATTCTCAGGAAACCCTAGAACCGTTGTTCATATTGATAGCCACTCGTCAACGAAATCTGTCTGAAAGTTTGAAGGAAGTGTTGCATTACATTGGATTGCACCCCATATAAAATAGCTCTGTAATCTGTGATGTCAACAATGAGCTATTCTTCAACAGCTGAACTCCTGTCTATACGCGAATTCTTTGTTTAGTGAATACTGTGTAGAGGTTGTCTCACTCAATGTCCGAAGCCCTTAGTAAAATTATGTGAACGTAACGCTAGTCATTACTCAGTGATCAATCACTTGTTGTGTCTACTTGCCAGTAAACTAATTAAGCGTTTCTTAATTCAGGTGAATGTCTCGTCTCCATAATTTCCATTGTTTTGCTTTTGTTGTTGACAGCGCAGTTTCTTGAGTTTACAAATGCAGGTAAGTTAGTTTAACAGTAATCTCATCTGATGAATTGCACTTCCATCACGTGTCGTATAAAATGTTAATCGAATCAGGTCTATTTCTATGTATATCGAATAAATCATGCAGTACAATTTAAATGAATGTTCAGTAGAAACACATATTTTGCTCTTACACTCGAACTACAGCGCACATAATCATGAGTGATGATTTTTATGGGTTCTGTTTGGATGAGAATTGAAGTGTAGATCACGGTTTTGTTTAGCTTCACGCATTGCTGATTCTTGTTTTAGCTCATTTATTTAAGGACTTCGAATATTGGATCGCCCAGTATGGGCGCGTTCAAAATATTTCATAAAAAATCAATCTATCCATTATGAGCATGATGAGACTTGAATAAATGGTCGTTGAAACTTTTAGTGTATCCTGATCACCATATAAACAATACAAATTTCACAGTGATACTGACGGATTATTGTGAATGATGTACATTTTCCTCCACGACAACCATACTGACGTTTTCAATGATTTTCGTGTTCATATTATGCTTTCATCTAACATGTTTGGATTCCGGTTTGTTTTAGATATCGTTGTGACTAAACTCTCTGTCTCCGTTAAGGAGTGGGATGAACTGATTACAAAGCATAATTTAACGGAATCCCTAGACGTTTTGGATAGATACTGTGCAAATGTAAGTCTAAAAGTTATCACTTGGGGTTTTTTACATGAAGCGACGTGAAAAATAACATTATTCGGGTTTATTTTACTTCAATCGATCTCCATATATTGGCCACATGAATCTTTGAGTGAACTTGCACATTGATCTTGTAAACGCGCAACAATTAATGTTAAATAATAATTATACGTAAAAATGAAACTTTATTACCGAAGGGTAAATGTTGAATAACACTATGATTCAGTGTTAGGTTATTGTCACTCCGGATAACCATTTTTGTGACTAGACATAAATATCCAAATATGAATAATTATATGAACACCCATAAAATTTACGTTTTGAGTTAGAATGATCACTTTCATAAATACTTCAACAAAATAATTTGACCGATTCATGTGATTTCTTAAAGGTTGTGAATGTGGTGAAGGAATTGGAGCCAAAACTGAGTTCCGTTACTCTGTCATGTGACATCAATCAATCACAAAAGCCAAAGAATAATGATGCCCAAACCATCGATGTTCAACTTGCCGTGTTAACGAGTGAAATGGAAATAGTATATTCATCAAACACGTGGTTTTCATCGTTAAAGAATGCACTTGAATCGGGTACTGTGAATGTGAATAGCAAATGGATAACTAGTGAGTGAATCACCAATGCATGTCAGTTTTCTTGTTGATATCCACACTTGTTCAATATATAATGTGTTTAGTTGAATTGACATCGCTTGTAGTTTTCAGCACTAAGTAAATATACTGTACTCCATTTCAGGAATCGTTTCAGTGAGTGGTAAGTTCACGATAAATTTTGTCATTTGTGTGTATTGTAAAATTTGTTGACGTCAGTGATACTGTAAAATATTGATAACATCAGTCTGTCAACGTATTGTGTGACTTTCAGAAGTGACAGATGTGTAGTGGTATGTAAACATGGTTTGTGAAATGAGTGAAAGGGGTAGCCTGTTATCATCAGCCTCAAAATAATATTTATTTTGACTTGTAGATCCGGAAACCTTTATCAATGGTGAGTTGTCCCCTATATGAGGCACTTGTTTTGAAATTTAAATCCACTGTTATCATTTTATGATCTCAACTGAGGTGTGTAAAAGTGACTGGATGAAATGTGTTCATTGCTTTGTTTTTGAATGTTGTGTGAACTGAATGATGTAAACAAACTGATCGTAATATCGATGATGCAACTGTAGTGAAATTATATAGTTTACTGGATGGGTCGGGGGACGGTCGACTCGTGAAGGCCTTGTGAATCGATCACCACAATTTGATCAGTCAAAAGCTCCTGATATTTACATGCTTGTAAAGGCATTCAACACACAAACACTCTGGCATTAAATTCACACCGAGGAATCAAGTGATTGATTAGAAATATCATTCGACTGCTACGCTGATTGCCTCTCTTCTGCATTCCAGTGATGTTTTCACTAGACAAGCTCACTTGATTTTCGACAAGTTGATCTTGATCCGTTCATCTCAAGTCTCCAGATCACTAATCTTGTTGAGAATTTGATGATAAATTATGACAACATTTCCTGAATTGGTTTCACCAACATGTCAAAACGAAGGTTGTATTAGTTTGAATCGAGGATGAAATCAGCAGTGAATGTATATGATGTCTGAAAAATCATAATGTTTCTATCACTGATTCGTCGGTCAACACAAATGCTTATGTGTAGTATGGCTTACAATACCCACTGAATAGAGTGATTTGATTAACAAACCGATTTATGAAATATTTTGTTGATAGTGAATATTTGTTCCACAAACTCTGTCTAATGAATGTTGTACATTTTAGAAACCTATCTGTTCGAAAGCAATTATGGAACGCACGTAGTCGCTGATAGGTGCGCTAATGTAAGTTTTCTTGAGCGTATTACGTTTTGTGTTGATCGATCAAGTAGCAGTTACGTGTTAGTTTGAAGAGATTATAAATTTAAGTTTATCGCATCATATTTATATCTTCGTACCGTTAATTCCAAAATTTTAACGAATAGCCCATCGATACTCGCTTTGATGACATTTATTGATGTATGTTGTTTTCTTGATATTCTGTGGACCTAAACGCCAAACATCAGTGTTATGTGGCATCCGTAGTATTAGTTATCTACGTTTATCAGGATTTATTTGGAAGCAGTTTCATAGAAAAATAGGAATAATTTCTCACAAAGTTACCATACCGACGATTACACAATATTTAATTGTTTACAAAAGGACATTACGCCGTTAAAAAGTACTATGCAGTAATACACTGTCTAAATATTTTAATTGTAGCTGAAGAACATTATGTCGAGGAGATACCCCGGGTTTGGAGAATCAATGGAGAACTGTGTCTTCGAGATGCCTGGAGGAAATATAAGTATAAGTATGAAATACCGAGAACTAATGAAGAAAGGATATTGCTGTTTGAAATATAACATATACAGAAGAATATACTGGTCGATTGATGAATTAATGCAACCGCAAAAATATGGTGAGAATGTTAGAATAAACACGAATTTTAAAAAAAAATTGACAACAGAATAATATTTAAGTCACTAGATTCAACTCTTTCATTTTTCTATTGAACTTACTCTGTCGGTTTGTTTCTCTATGTCTTCCTGTCATTTAGGTGGTGAGACGACAATGAAGAGGGAAGCAACTCAAAGTGGAATAGCGACTGACGAGGAAGGAAGTTCTCTCGGTATGTTTGCTCGACTAGTGACTCCTTTCTCTCTCGCTCTGTCTGTCTGTGTATCTCTCTTCCTCTCTCTCATTTGTAAATTGAGGATCTCGAGACATGTGAATTTTAACCTTCGTCCGATCAGTGAATGAGTTTTCAGTTATTAGTTTCAACGCTTTCACTTTTCTATTGAACTTACTCTGTCGGTTTGTTTCTCTATGTCTTCCTGTCATTTAGGTGGTGAGACGAAAATGAAGAGCGAAGCAACTCAAAGTGGAATGGTGACTGAGGAGGAAGGAAGTTCTCTCGGTATGTTAGCTCGACTGTTGACTTCTTTCTCACTCACTCGCTCTCTTCCTCTCTCTCTCACTCTGTCTGTCTGTGTATCTCTCTTCCTCTCTGTCATTTGTAATTTGAGGGTCTCGAGACATGTGAATTTTTACTATCGTCCTATCAGTGAATGAGTTTTCAGTCATCAGTTTCAACGCTTTCATTTTTCTATTGAACTTACTCTGTCGGTTTGTTTCTCTATGTCTTCCTGTCATTTAGGTGGTGAGACGACAATGAAGAGCGAAGCAACTCAAAGTGGAATAGCGACTGACGAGAAAGGAAATTCTCTCGGTATGTTTGCTCGACTGGTGACTCCTTTCTCTCTATCTGTTTTTGTTTATAAAGGATCTTGTTATTGTCATCTGTTATCTTCACATATTCTTGGTGACTTATTGTTCTTACATATTTCATCAATTTTGTGAAATGTTTCTCATTTACCGGCTTACGTTTTGTCCTCAGCTTCCATACTTATGTAGATTTCGTCTTGCTAACTTTTTACATCGAAATGTTTTTGAAGGTTTGCCGTCAATTATTCGCATATCTGAACTAGAAAATTTGGTAGTGAACTATACAGGTAATATTCAAAATTTATTATATTCGAACAACCTTTGTTCGCTTTATCATGAAAATATACCAACACATTTTTCTATATGGGATTTTCCAGCTTTATTTATCATGATTAATTCTATGTAGAGATAATGCACACACATCACATCTATGCGAACAATACTGATGCAGTTTCAGCTAAACCATCGACAATTTGATAATCAAAATCATTTAAATTCAATGAATTGATTGTATGTGGTCACTGAGTGTTTGCTCTAGGTGTCTGGTTGATTAGGAGCCTAATGATCTATTAGTGAGTAAAATTCTGTCTCTCCAGTCATCACACTTGGAAAAGTCGTTAGTTGTCGATTTTTTTCTAAAATATGATTAACGTTTTATTTTGTTGGCACGGAATTCTTTAAGATTTTCTTTATTGTATATAAATTTTTATTAGCTAACTAACTTTGCTGGAGTTTCATTGTTTGAACTGGCTAATTCGGTTGTGCAGCTCTCATTATTCTTCTGCGTGATATCATTTACACAAATCTGAGGTATTAGCGAACCTGTCATTATCCGTTTCCTCAGTTCGATTGTAATTCTTGATTCTATATTTGCAGATGAATGTTTTGATTGATTGAAAGTCTACAATGATTTCGATGTGTTTGTTAATTGCCGATTTAATTAGGTGTTATGCTACAGAAATTTCTATTGTGTACATTGTATTGTTCCTATCAAACATTTCACATTTTTCCAGTCAAATGAAAATTCATAAATGTTCTTATTTATTGATTTAAACGAAGATATATCATGACGTTTGACGTTTAGTTGATTTTTATGGCAACAAATTTAATGAAAGCACCAACGTTGTTCCATATGGTGATTTTCGTTATTAGAACACTCTGTTGAGTAAATGATTTATTGTTTTAGTCGTTTCGTACTCTAATTTACCAACGACTGAAAATAGTGACTTTGCTAGCATTTACATTACATCTGTCAGTTGTCTTACTTTACAGCCGTTAATCCTTATTTCTATCGACCTGTTGATCATGTGTTTTGGGTATGTTTACTGATAGCTGCTGAAGTATGTGATGATAATGTTGCTTGTGGAAACAATGGAAAAATGCGTGATTGAAATGTGTCGGTCAGTCTAATCAACTTCTCTAAAATCCTTCGACGAGATGCAAATTACGTACTCTTTCTAGAAGTTTCTTCTTCCTAAAGTGAGAGTTTAATTGTACTACATATTTGTTTCGGTAATAAAACAAACATTGTTTATTAAAATATAGGTTACTGTATTTATTCTTCGTTTCCATCTAGTAAGTTGTGAAATATTTCGCTCACTGCATATATATCTATATATAATCGAATACAAATGTCGTAAAATGATTGTGTGCAAGCGATGACATCGTCTGTAATCGCATATCATAATGTCATATCACTCACCATAACTCCTTGTTATTCCTAACATATCGTTTGTTATGGCAAATTATATTGGTGCTCCATTGCACTGAAATTATTTACGTTATAATTGAATCATTCAGTACAACTTACACCACTGTGAATTCGAGAAATATGATTCTTCATCATTGTTTATCTAAATTGCGTAAATGTTAAGAGTATCTCTCAGGAGTTTTTGAAAATTGCTTTTCACCTTTGAATCGTGGTTACCCATAACATGACCTATTAGATTTGTGTGAAACTGAAATAACATAAACATAGTGTGCAGTAGAAATAACATACCCATGTGACATTACCTAGATGATGGAACCTGCACACCAACTACAAATATCTTAACACAACTAGTAACAATACGAGAAATCTTCGGAACGCAATCAGGTTCACTCTACAGTTGGAATATACAGGCTCACCTAAATGAAAACGATAAAACCATGTGGAGTCGGTTTTCAATTTGCAGACAGAATAACCTGTTTAAGACGTTAATTGATTAACTTTTCAAATAAAATCTGCTAAGAATTCGCAATATCAGTGATTTGTTCTCAGTGAACCATCCACTTACTAAGGCTATTCTCAGAATCACTAAGAATAGACTGACAGTTCATCATGTCCATTTCAACCACATCTCAATAACTCACTTACACAACAAGCGCTGTCAAATCAAATCAACAATATTGAAACTGTAAACAAACGTCTTGTGTACAGACGTCTGTTGTCGACGTAATTCGAATATGTGACGATCGTTATTGAGTCTAACGCTGTTCATTTCCCTAAAATCATGACCTGTATTTAGGAAACGTGTATCAATTTGTTGATTATCGGAATCAGGAATTCAACTGTCGATAGACTAGTGCAAATGTTTATCGGTTTAGGTGGCCTCATCAAACAACAATACAGAAAGAGGGAGTGTGTGTATTAACAAAATTGTTACGATTGTAGTTACATTCCATGATTTTCACTGTTCACTTGATTTACAAATTCACAGATTGGTCAGATGACGAGTGACAAGTGAGTATTGAATCGTTGTGTTATAATTATATCTTAATATATATCTCTTTTCAAGTTTCGTTGAAAACTGATTGTAAATACACAATCCATTTAATCATGACCATTTAGCATGGTAGTTATCGTTCACAAAATGCTATCAATATCTACTCACAGATTGTGGATTAACGTTGTTTTGTCGCTAGTTGTTAGATGAATATGGTTTGATCAAAATGTTTTGTAAACATTTTTGAAAGTGTATTCAATTTGTATATGATCAATATCCGGTTGGCAACATCAATGATACCCTTGCAAATCAATAATTGTTCCAGAATAGTTGCATATAGCTTCCGTCAATATGTGTACAATTATATTAAAATTATTATAGTGAAACAGAATACTTATTGTAGTGTTGTTCAATTTGTGATAGGATGTGATTGTCTTCTATCGATTAAATAGAATTGACAAATCAAAGTTGAATTAATCGTCATCACATGTTTCGTCTAGAATATTCATAAAATTTCCACCCTTGTTTTTGTTATACATTGCATGCTCGATTATTATCTTAATCCAAAAGCATCATAATATTCAAAGATGTGAGAATGAATGCTTTCATGAGAATTATCTAGTGTCTGAAATATTACCAAGAATGATCAAATTCTTTCATATACTTTTCTTTCAGATCACCCGTTTTCTAACCTCATCAACACTACTATCATCATCAGATAAGAATAACAGTATTGTACACTGAAATATACTAATCCGATTTAATCTGTGGTGAACTTAACAGTATTCTTGAATAACATTTTCTAATTCTAACACAATACATAATATATGGTAATTAAAGTACTGAGTCTTTTTATCTACATTACGTTTGAAAAGGAAACGATGAATATTTGTTTGCGATAAATGATATAAATAATTACTGTTTATTTATTTATTTGAACACATAAATATTGGTACAAGAGAGCGCCAATATATATGCGCCACACAAAACAATGAAAATTCGAAGAGAGATAGAAAAAAAAACTAAGGACCACAAAAGGTAGTGTGGTTGTAACGATGGAACAGAAAGGTACAATCAGAAGAAATCTTTCAAGTAAGGAAGACACAACCACTATTATGAAGAAAGTAAAAGAAGGTTACAGCAGGATCGCCACTGGCTTCTATTCTGAGCCATATCTGATAACGTCTCTAGCCACTGTGTAGCACCATCTCTCAGACCCCAACCAGGGAGTCGTGAAGGACCAACACAAGCCAGTCCTTTGCAGCTTTCTTTCATACCACGACACCATGTCATGCACTGACCACCTCTCCGCTTTTTCCAACCAGTCCCAGAGTCGGCAAACAATGCACGACGTGGAATTCTCTGGGACGACATTCGTAGAACATTGGGCAAAGCTTGCGTAAGGACCGAGAAGCCTGGTGGTCGGAGCGTGCTAATGAGATGGAAGCAGCAGCTGCATCTGGTAACTACCGGAAGCTCTTCCAGCTCATCCGAGCCACTGGCAGCAAGAAGTCTGGTGTGAGTGAAACAATCTGCGAGGATGATGGGATGCCAATCACTAACATCCATCGACGTCTTGGACGATGGGCAGAATTTTTCGAAGGGCAGTTCAACTGGCCTGCTGCTCCGGCAACATCGGTCAGACTGTCCTGCCCTCCATGGCCGGTGACGACTGATCCACCGAACGAGGAGGAAGTCCGCAAGGAACTCCAACTCTTGAAGCGTTACAAATCACCGGGCCCAGATGACTTACCTCCGGCTCTTTTTAAAGATGGTGGTGACTTTTTGACTAAGGAATTGACGACGTTGTTTACAAAGGTTTGGGAATTAGAGAGTGTACCAACGTCATGGAATGAGTCGATAGTTGTCCCTATCTTTAAAAAGGGTTCACGTCGTTCCTGCAACAACTATCGAGGGATAAGTCTACTTCCGATTGCGTCCAAGCTATTGGCTTCCATCATACTTCGTAGGTTGTTCAAAACCCGAGAAAGATTGACTCGCGAGGAGCAGGCTGGGTTTCGTTCTGGTCGAGGTTGTATTGATCATATCTTCACCCTCCGCCAAATGTTAGAACATCGCCATACTTATCAAAGGCCAACAATCGTAGTGTTTCTTGACATCAGGGCTGCCTTCGATTCGTTGGACAGGACTGTTCTCTGGGATTGTCTATTGAAGAAGGGTGTGCCTGAGAAGTTTATTAACATCCTAAAAGCCCTATATAAAAACACCTCAGGTAGAGTGAGGGCATACAGCCACCTCTCTCCATTGCTCTATACGAGTAGTGGGGTTAGGCAGGGTTGCCCAATCTCACCATTCCTCTTCAACTTTGCCATCGATGACATTCTGGAAGCAACTCTGATGGATGTAAGTAATGGTGGTGTGGATCTGTTGCCTGGAGAAAGACTTCTCGACCTTGAGTATGCGGATGATATTGTCTTACTGTGCGATAATGCCCAAGGCATGCAATCCGCACTTAATCAGTTGGCAATCAGTGTCCGTAGGTATGGTATGTGCTTTGCACCTTCGAAGTGCAAAGTACTTCTACAAGACTGGCAGGATTCCAATCCTGTACTCACCCTGGATGGTGAGCAGATAGACGTAGTCGAGAAGTTCGTGTATCTGCGTAGCTGCATAAGTGCTGGTGGGGGTGTGAGTGATGAGATCAATGCACGTATAGTGAAAGCCAGAGCGGCTTATGCCAATCTGGGCCACCTTTGGCGCCTTCGTGATGTTAGTCTGGCTGTAAAAGGTCGGATCTACAACGCGTCGGTGAGAGCAGTTTTGCTCTATGCTTGTGAAACCTGGCCTCTCCGAGTTGAGGACGTTAGACGACTCTCTGTGTTCGATCATCGCTGTCTCCGAAGGATTGCTGACATTCAGTGGCAACACCATGTTAGTAATGCAGAGGTTCGGCATCGTGTGTTTGGGCACAGAGATGATAATTCAATTGGTGTCACCATCTTGAAACACCGACTTCGGTGGCTTGGACATGTTCTACGAATGTCGTCCCAGAGAATTCCACGTCGTGCATTGTTTGCCGACTCTGGGACTGGTTGGAAAAAGCGGAGAGGTGGTCAGTGCATGACATGGTGTCGTGGTATGAAAGAAAGCTGCAAAGGACTGGCTTCTGTCGGTCCTTCACGACTCCCTGGTTGGGGTCTGAGAGATGGTGCTACACAGTGGCTAGAGACGTTATCAGATATGGCTCAGAATAGAAGCCAGTGGCGATCCTGCTGTAACCTTCTTTTACTTTCTTCATAAAAAGTGGTTGTGTCTCCCTTACTTGAAAGATTTCTTCTGATTGTACCTTTCCGTTCCATCGTTACGACCGCACTACCTTTCACCAATCTCTTTGTTATCGTTCTCTTTTTCTTTTGTGCTCTTTAGTTTTTTTTTCTTTTCTCTCTTCGAATTTTCATTGTTTTGTGTGGCGCATATATATTGGCGCTCTCTTGTACCAATATTTATGTGCTCAAATAAATAAATAAAAAGGTGACACTTAGTAAACTTAGCAATCTAATGATATTTATCTCTCTTCAGCTCGAAAGCTCATCAGGTAAACATGGATATATGGAATTCATAAAGCTGGAAACTAACTCGATTGTGTGCCGGCTCAGTGGTAGAGTATTTGCGAGCTTGTGTTCTCTTTACAGTGTGTATTACGATGGACCATTCAAATAGTTATA